CTCTATATAACACCCTATTTTGGTGAGTCCTAATAAGGGGCGATATAGACAGGTTTAACTGTATATGAATATCTGATGAAATCTCCCACTATATCATAGAATGCGAATATTTAGGTGAAGAAAGAGAAAAAACTTAAAAACACCTTCTGGAAACTTAGCAACCCACTGAAGACGCTGAGAACTATTTCAGAAAAGAAAAATATAGCAATAGAACACTATAACTTCTACAGATCAATTGTAAATAGATTCATACGCAAAATAGGTAGTGAGGAAAGTTCTAGAACAGATGTGTAAATAAGTCCCTTTTCAAACAAAGGCTCACGTGCACATGTGGAAAGGGAGAAAAAATTACTGTATTATTTTGTTGTTGTATGGCTAATCCATACAGGGCAATGGGGTCTAATAAAAGCCTTTTTGTTGTTGTTGCTGTTGAGTAAACTATATACAGTAAAATCCAGGAAACAAGGACAGAGAGTCCTCCTCCAGACAGTAAGTCACGTTGTCCCCTCATCTCAAGGCTCAGAAAGAACCTGTGTATTGATGACTTGGCAGACGTGAGGATGGCGAGGGTGTCGTCAGCCAGTTCTTGACCAAAGAGCCAGTAGCCCTGCAGGTCGGATGGTTGCTGTTGCAGAAAGAGAGAGAGATCATCAGCAGGATTTCCACATTCACCCAGGAGGTACCTGCATATTGAATGCGTTACCTTTTTTTTATAGTGGCGGTTCCCCAATAGGCCTATTCCACTTATATTTTATTTGCATCATAAAATCGAAATAATCAAAATTGAATGATAGAGTCAAATATCCAATATGGTAATAAGATTTTCTTTTAGAGGCCAGTGTTTGGAAGTCCTTTCCTTGACTGACTTCAATAGCAACAACCCATATATTTGTTAATAAAATTCCAAATATTATTGTATAATTTCTTTGTTAAAATTTTAATATATTGTTATGTGTCAACAAGTAGACAACCGATATTACACGTGACCATTAAAAATTTTTTTTTTTTTTTTATCAGAGAAACGGCATCACTGAGATGAAGGGTATAAATTGTATTTGACCATTGACCACCGTTTCACAGCAATGTGTTAAATACAACATGCCAGAAATATATTAATCTTCGTCCTGTTTGGATTTTTACCTGGCGATTTAGAAATGTCCAGCTACAGCTCCAATCCCTCCTACAACCAGCACAGTGAGACCCCGAACATCATGATCTTCCTGGACTGGACCACGAGCCCAGCACTGCACCAAATAAACCATCTGAATATTACATCCCCGCTTTGTTTCATCAATATTCCTTTATTTAGCATATCTGAAGCTCTTGTCTTGAGAAGTCCTTTCTCTTGACATTGCTTCAAACAAATCCCAAAAAATGGAAGTTAAGTCTTGGGGAGTCCATCCCTTCAACAACTTCATTTAGAAAACCCTAAAAATTATTGGATTTAAATCAATTCCATGATTCTGAAAATAGTAATCTACACATTGGTTTTAAAATTGTAAAAAAGTATTAATTGTAGTTGTAAGTTGGATGGCATGATGGTCCACCAGCAGAAGGAGATCTTTCCACACCAACTTTACCATTGAAGAAACCTCCCTGACAACTCCTGCCGTCAGTTCTGGTGACAAGGTGGTGCGTGTGGCTCACCGCTCTGCAACAAGGAACGGGACCTGCACAGCCTTCATCGAGGTGGACCTGTAGAGCCCTGGGTGTGCGCAGAAGGATAGTAGTTGATGGAGTTATCCTCAACTTCAAAGAGATGTCCGCTACTGTGGCTTCGGCCACAACTCGGCTCAATGCTCCAGGACTGCCAAGTGCTTCCACTGCGGCGAAGAAGGACACGAGGGTCGTGCCTGCTCCTCTCCCTGGAGAACCCGCGCACCTTCAAGTGCACCAAATGCTGTGCCAAGAAGGACACGAGGGTTGTGCCTGCTCCTCTCCCTGGAGAACCTGCGCACCTCCAAGTGCACCAACTGCTGTGCCAAGAAGGACACGAGGGTCGTGCCTGCTCCTCTCCCTGGAGAACCCGCTAAAGTGCTAGGCTACAAGGACCTCCCTGATGGAGATCCTGAAACTAGCCTCACGCCATACCCTTTTTAACCATCTTTGCAAATCCTTCTGGGACACATGAGAGGAGGAATTCATCACCGCGAACCCTACAATCTACAAGAACCTGGGTATCTCTCCTCGTTCTTTATCTTTGTTGGGTCCATTTTACCATAACAACCCAACAATGATGTAAACATCATATATAATATGCCCAGTAACCTTTCCGAAGTTTTGCTGTCCAGAAGGAGAATCTAACACAGTGGGAGTACCCTAAAAGTCCACTAGCAGAGCTGAGGAAGCAGCCACGAGATCCCCTGGAGCTGGCGACTAGGGGATCCTTTCACCCAATGTATATAAATTTCTCATCTTTCTGCCCATTAAGCCATAAAATCAATACGGTAAGAACCTTGTCCAAGAGAATATATACCCACTGTTACACTGAGGAGTCAAAGCAAAAGGAAACAAATAACATAATTTCAAATTTAATGTCCTCTGGTTATCCTAAAAACTTTATATTAAGGCATTTCCATAACCCATCCCGCACCAAGATATATGACAACTATAAATCCATCTGCACAATACCGTATTCCTTGCAAAGCGTAAAAATAGCTAGAGAACTAAAGAACTTCGGCATCCGCACTTACTTTTCCAACACCCCTAGTATAGGCACTATCTTAAGGAACCCAATCACTAAAAACAACACGCCTCGGAACACTGCTCAAAGAAACAATGCTGTTTATTCCATAAAATGCAACGATTGCGACAGTGTTTATGTAGGTGAAACTAGCCGTTACATTAAAGACAGAATACAGGAACACGACAGAAACATCAGACATAACGATCCGAAATCACTTATTGTCCAGCACATTTCACAGACAGGACATAGTTTCAACACAACTGATCCAAGATCACATTATTCTAATATACCACATAAACACAAAAGATTGGTTGTCGAGGCCTTGCTATCTCTGAGATATAATAGTATAAACAGACATATCGATGTACCTGAGCCGTATATAAGCTTATTACATAAATAGCCATTGATGTACCCCATGAATTTCCCTGTTTTGTTCATTTTATTTTAATATCCTTTTAAACTGTTTTACTTTATAAATACTCATAATTTTATCACAGTTTCCGTCGAATCGTAGGAGCGTCCTTTCAGTCTTATTACGCTTTTATCATAATACCTTGTAATATTCGTATATTATTCTTCTTACAAATTTCATTAATTTGCTTGTCTCGATGTTCGTTTTAAACAAAAATCCTAAGTATTACCGATTATTTCAAAATTTTACAACTAATTTCTAATAATACATATGCAGATTTATTCTTCGTTTATATAGTGTATCATTTTTCTTATACAATTGATCCTGTAGAAGGGCCACGCTGTGCCCGAAAGCTTGATGTCTTAATAAATTAATGAAGAAACTTATCTCCTGAGTATTTTGTCCTTACCACGTATGTACATATGTATCCTCCAATATACATCCTCCAACGTCTGTGGAATCGGAAAGAGTCTTCTTCTCCTCTGGATACCTATGCAATAAGATACATTCTAGTTTGCACGATGACACTCTTGACAAATTATCTTTCCTATGCTCAAATCTTTCTCAAAATTGAATTTTTATCCTTAAAATAAAGTAATTCATGGTTTTTAAAATGGTGCTGTCTTTCTAAACATTAATACATAGTTGGGCAAAATGCAATAATGATTACATTTTCTATAATAACAATTGCAAATAATCATGATTACATTTGCTATAATTACAATTACAAGTGATTTTAATCACAATTGCTATCATTATATATAGAATTATGAGTAATTATGTTTACATTCTAATGCAATTATTTTTTTTGCAAAGTAATCGTAATTACAAGGTAATGTATTACTTTGAATGGATTACTGCCCAACACTGCATTAAGAGATGTGGTCTAAGAGTTCCAAGAACAGTATTTTTTTCCAGATGTGTGTACAGTAATTGACAGATAATTTCAAACTGTAACCCAAAAGCAATGATTTAGTTCATAAGCAAGCGCAAAATATATGGCTTTCAGGTTGTTTTCATCGAAGTAAGTGCCACGTCTTTGGCACTATATAAAAGAAAAAATTAAAAATATAACGAACAAAACAATATACCTCTTGGCGTAGAAAGACGAAAATGTTTTTCAATCCCGGGATTGAAAATATGTACCGGGATTGGAGGCCCTAGAATCGACCCATTAGTCAAGGAGTCGGGGGTAGCGATGGATGCCACCCAAGCTGGATACCTCAACGAACTGAATGAAATGAACGAATTTCTAAATCAGGCATTGACCCCGCAGAAGAAGAGCTCGGAGCTGAAGGAGCTTACTGAGGCTTTCCAGGACTCCCTAGACACTATACATCGAGGGAGGAAGAATGGAAATGTTCATCCGAACATCCTCGAGCAATGCTTTGGATAAGCTCCTCAAGAAACATAGGGCTGCTCTTTTAGAGCTTGAGCTCCTTCGGATGGAAAAGAGGAACCTAGAGGGAAAGAAACTCAGTCCGACCCCCCTACCTTGAAGAGTGGCATACAGAGAAGAGTGGCGGTGGCTCTCTTAGAGTCGCTGAAACTAGCTGAGGTTGAGGTATGTCCTCCCAATGACGCTTCCCCAGTCCTCCCAAGACGAGAAACGCCACACCACGAGAAGACAGAGGATCCTGCAAGGGCACGGGCCGGGAGTAACTGCCCTGAAGAAGAGGGAGACCTGGCCCAAATACCGACTGGTGACACGGAAATGGTTGTTCTGCCATCTCCCCCTAAACAGCCTGTTCAGAGTAGGAACAGCGAGAAGGCGAGCAAATGTTCTATAGAGAGAACCATCGGATCAGCTAGTTTCGAAATTCTTCTCCTCATCTTCAAATGCACTCTCACACAGCCAAGAGGGCACATCTGATGTGAAAATAATTGAAGGCATAAACCATACTCCTCCCAGAATAGGCCCGAAACCATTGTTATACAATGATTTTCTAAAGAAACACCTAAATAACGGGACTTTCCAAGAAAATTTAAAGTGGATAAGTAACAACATATTCAAAATAAAATGGGTGGATACATACTTTTGTTTTAAGAGGACTAAAAGAAAATATGTATGTTAAAACGTAAAGTTAAAATGGCCCCTATGTAATTTATTTATTTATCATCAAATTAGACGCGATATCACCACGAGGGATGCTTGCGTCAAGAAACACTAAACTTAACCATTGTTATACAAGGATTTCTTAGAAAAACACCTAAATCTTGGGACATATGGTGACAAATTGAAGTGGGTTGATGAAAACGTATTTCTAGTTAAATGGTTAGATAAAAGGAAAAGTACCTGGACTAAAGAAGACCATGACCATACAAACCCCTTTCCCATTCACCAAATGTTCTATAGAGAGAACCATCGGATCAGCTAGTTTCGAAATTATTCTCCTCATCTTCAAATGCACTCTCACACAGCCAAGAGGGCACATCTGATGTGAAAATAATTGAAGGCATAAACCATACTCCTCCCAGAATAGGCCTGAAACCATTGTTATACAATGATTTTCTAAAGAAACACCTAAATAACGGGACTTTCCAAGAAAATTTAAAGTGAATAAGTAACAACATATTCAAAATAAAATGGGTGGATACATACTTTTGTTTTAAGAGGACTAAAAGAAAATATGTATGTTAAAACGTAAAGTTAAAATGGCCTATGTAATTTATTTATTTATCATCAAATTAGACGCGATATCACCACGAGGGATGCTTGCGTCAAGAAACACTAAACTTAACCATTGTTATACAAGGATTTCTTAGAAAAACACCTAAATCTTGGAGTTTCAGTGGAGAAACACTTGGCTGTATTGAAAACTGTGTTTCTGCGTTTGGAAAAATACATTAAACTGAAGAAGGATAAATGTAAATTTGTGCAAAGAGAAATAGAGTATTTGGGCCATCTTATCAAGGAAGATGGCATCCGACCTTTGGATCACAAGGTGCAAGCTTTACAGAAGGCCAAGAGTCCGACAAACATCTCTGAGTTGAGGTAATTTCTTGGATTGGTGAATTATTATGGAAAATTTATTCCAAATCTACCGGATCTATTGAGGCCTCTTCACGAGCTGCTTCATAAAAAGAATTGCTGGAGCTGGACCAAGGAGTGTGAAGAGGCTATTGAAAAGTGCAAGAGTAGCATTACCTCTGAGAGGTTCTTAGTTCCGTACGACACCACATTGCCTTTGTTTTTGGCCACGGATGCATCCCAGATTGGAATTGGCGCGGTTCTGTCTCATGTCATCGGAGGCCAGGAAAGACCGATCATGTTTGCCTCTCGGACCCTATCAGGAGCTGAGCGCAACTATTCTCAGATTGAGAGGGAAGCTCTCGCAATAATTTATGGAGTGACCAAATTCCATCAGTTTATTTATGGGAGACGCTTTACCCTGATAACGGATCATAAGCCGCTAGTGTCTATTTTAGGCCCAAAATCGGGAATTCCTACTTTATCAACTTCGAGATTACAGAGATGGGCGATAATTCTGTCGGCTTATACCTACGATATCAAGTTTAAAAAAACTCAAGATCATGGAAATGCAGATCTTCTGTCACGTCTTCCAGTTGAGAGTGAGGAAACTTCGAGACTGGATAACATTTATGCACTGTCCTACATGGAGGATTTGCCAATCACGGCTGAAGAAATTAGAATTGAAACTCAAAAGGATGAAGTGCTATCAATAGTGAAGTGCTATACCCAGCATGGCTGGCCTGAGAGGGTGCCAGACCACCTCAGACCTTACTTTCAGAGAAAACTGGAGCTGACTGTGGACGGAGAGTGTCTATTGTGGGAGATGCGGGTCATTATTCCTTCCTCTCTCAGACCGAACTTGTTGAGTTGCCAACACGAGACCCATTCAGGGATGAGCAAAATGAAGTCTGTGGCAAGGTCTCATTTCTGGTGGCCGAATCTAGACAATGAAATTGAGTTCCTGGTAAACAGGTGTGGAAACTGCCAACAGGTTCAGGATGGCCCAAATAGAGTGAAGTGGCAACCTTGGATTTGGGCAGTTAGACCTTGGCAGCGGATCCATATTGATTATGCAAACAAAGATAACATCAATTTGCTAATTGTCGTGGATAGTCATTCTAAGTGGGTCGAGGCATTCCCAATGAGAGAGATAACCTCAGCAAAAACAATTGAGCAATTAAGACGACTTTTTTCATCTTATGGTTTGCCAGAAGAAATAGTATCAGATAATGGCCCTCAGTTTACGGGTAGTGATATGAAAATTTTTTTGAAAAATAATGGAATAAAACAAACACTGATTCCTGCGTACCATCCTCAGAGAAATGGCCTGGCAGAGAGAGCTGTCAAGATGATAAAAATGGCATTAGACAAAAATAAAAGAAAACCTGGGGATACCATTCAGGACACGCTATCAAAAATTTTGCTGGCATATCGTAGCACCCCTCATGAAACAACCAAGAAGGCTCCGTCAGAACTCTTTATTGGGCGTTCCCTTCGAACCCGACTATCAATTATACATCCAAATCTGGAATCAATAGTAAAAGAGCAGCAGGCAGGCAAATGAAATACGACCACGGATTTCAACAAGATGAGTTTGGAATAGATGACATGGTTTGGTGTCGAAATTTTAGAGGCGGGGATCGATTGATTCCAGGCAGAATAGTGGGGAGAAAAGGATCCCGAGTCTATACAGTTTTAATACACGGACAGGTCAAAAGTTATCATCGAGATCAAATAAGGAAGAGGTGGGAGAATGGTGGAGATGAAGATCGACAATATGGACGCCAAAGAGAGGAAACTGATATCATCGCTCCTGAGGCTGATATGCCCAACAGAGGCAGAAGTGAATCGCCGCCTATAGAAACAGCCAGATAGCAGCGGGACTCTGGACTCGTGGACCAGAATGATGGAGGCATTTCAGGGGAGTCGTCTCGTTCACCGGATCCCGAAGCCAGTAATGAAGGACCCATCCCAAGAAGAAACCCACCAAGAAATCGGAGACCTCCTTCAAGATATATTTGAATGTAGCGGGAAGATGGTGTAATATATCAGCGTGAAATATTCTGTGAACATTTTATTGCTTCTGTAATTCTTAAGTGGTCATCATCATTGTTGTTGTTTTGAATGCATATAATTCGCATTATTTTCTTCTTTATTGCATTCATTTAATTTAATATGTTTGTGTTTATTTCTTTTGATTAAATATTCAAATATATATAAATAAATATATATATAGATAATAATAAAAATATATAACAATGAAAGTTTTATTTCTTCATTTCACTAAAGTTATTGCAGCTTATCTTTTGTTTACCTTTCATAGTTTGTTCTTCCCTGAAATAAATTTTGTTTCCTCCTGAAGTTTTTGTCTTCCCTAATTTTCCACGTGGCAATATTGAAAAAGGTTTACATCCTCAACCAGTGTCTTTACAGGTGAAAGGACATGCCCAGAATGTGGGAAACAAATGGAGCTGAAGCCCTATAAGAACACAGATGGTGTAATATTGAGGTGCAGAAGCACTTCTAAGAAAATTGGGGTTCATTGTGTTAGACAAATAATAACTTCTCTGTGGGTGGTCAAGTGCGATATAAAGACTATTTCAGAACAGTCAGGTGTCTCAGAAGACTCAGTCACTCACTGGGTGATTTTTGTAGGGAGGTTTGCTACCTTCTTTATAATGGCGACCCTCCAAAAATTGGTGGTGTTGGAAAACAGGTACAGATCGATGAGAGCCTGTTTGGGCATACAAAAACAAAGCATCATTGTGCCAAAACTGCTACTGGCCATTGAGTTTTTGGCTGAGTAGATATTGAAATCAAAGATTTTTCTTTGAGGTTGTCGCTGACCGTAGGACCAAAACACTCATCAAGGTCATTAAAAAGTATGTTCTGCCTGGCACCACCATTGTTTTCGATCGGTTCCGCTCGTACTACAGGCTAGATCAAGAAAGTTTTGACCATCTTGTTGTGAACCATAAATTACACTTTAAGGATCCAGCAACAGGAGTGCATACAAATAACATCGAGGACACCTGGTCGGCAGCCAAAAAATTATACTCGGGCAAAAGAAAAGTGAAAAATTCACTCGAATTTTATCTGTCCGAGTATTATGTCGCCAAAAGAAAATACTGTAACTGCAGCTGGCATGCCTATATAGTAAATTATCAGTGAGCACATTATTATCACTGATGGTACTCTGTGCAGTTGCCTTTTGACTTATTATAATATATATCACATGTAAACTTATGTCTGATATAATGGCCATATTATAAAATTATATTCATTTATCTATTTAGAAATTAAAAAAATTAATATATATATATTTTTTTAAAATAAGGCCTATTTTGGATTTAAATACGATTATTTATTAATCCGATATTTCGATGGATCAATCTTCCATCTTTTACGAGGTGTTTTGCAGTGAAGCACGCAGCAGGTCGTGCGCCCCAGGTGAGCCATCCACGAACAATAGACAGATCTCAACCCCGAACATGTTTTGCTCCCTACCTTACAGCTATGGCTGTGAAAGAATAGCCAGAAGTTTAAAAAAACTCAATATTACAACCAGATATCAACCCAACCAGAATTTAAGAAGCATCTTCCATCACCCTGATACAAAACAAATCTACAAGCCAGAAGATAGAGCGAATGTGGTTTATAAAATACCATGCAAATCCTGCCAGGCAATATACATAGGAGAAACCAGCAAACCTTTATCTGAAAGAATTAACCAACACAAATCCGCACTAAAGCACCATAACCCGACATCCCTACTGGTAGATCATGCATTCAACAATAGTCACACTCCAGACTTTGATCACACATCTATAATACATCAAAACATCAAAGAAAAACATTGCCGTTTATTTTTAGAAAGCTGGAGCTCATTAGAAAATAAAAATAGTATCAATAGAAAGATTGACTTGCCAGATGTATATACTCAGTTTAGAACCTCTTAGATGATTATGCTATTTACATGGTTATTTTATTTCAATTTTAATCGGATATT